TAACAACAGCACTCTCTTTACAAACAGGCTTAGAAACACAGCCTGCACACAATTAACAAAATCTGAAAGTATATTCATATGCTTAGTGTTGATCAACCTGTATCTTATAAAGTTCTGTAATTTCTGATTGATCATATTGTAACGTTTACAGCATTCAGCTGACACGTTTATTCAGACTGAACTGCATTGCCTAATTATAATAACAATATAATGACATAATTTGGAGACTATATCGGATAAACCAATTCTATTGTCAGAACTCATCTTCCAGGAATTTTAATACTATTATTTAAATATCTGATTTAACATCTGATGTATCACCTTTTAATCAAAAGGCTGTACTCCACATTACAGGTCTTACAAGTAAGCATGTGAATACACTGAATAAACAACGCATGCTGAACACAAAACAGATCAGAACGTGATCCGAAACGTACTTAACCTGGAACACCGAACAGGTTCCTGAACACTAACATAAACATAAAATTGACCTCAAAAGTGACACATATTGGTGGCCACCAAATCCCGTCCTTTTCTTAGCACATCGTGAGTCGAGAAAGAACATTTCTTTTTTACCTGGCTTCATCACCTAAGAGACAGTTACTCAAGGTGCTAAGCAATTCCATTGCAATAACAGTCAGTTAATGATTCACAGTAGTTGCCCATAGCTTAAATTGAATAAATTAAAGCTGTACCAAGATGTAACTGACACAATTACAAAAAAAATCTTAAAATGACATCCTCAGACTTTTGGGCTTTTATTGGGTTAAGTGTACTGTATGTTATTGATGTGCTCCTACATACACAAAGCTGAAAATGCATCTCTGCATCATTCTGAAATGGAGAACAGTATTTTACATGAGGTACTCTTACACTAGTTCTAAATAATATTGACACCCAGGAAAATTTGTACTTACAGGAAGGGACTGCAGTGGCTCACAGTTGTAGGGAGGAAGCCAAGTCCGGGTGACATAAAGATTACCAATGTATATGCTGATCCTCTATAAAATGGTACATAGCACATTTGTATAAACCATTCAAAAACTCAAAAAGGTAAAAAAAGTAAGGTCAAATTGTACATGATACCTTTGATTCTGCAATTGCCTGAATAATCTCAAAACAGGCATTTCCAATCTGAGATGAAAGGGATGAATATATTAGGCAAATTTAAATTACACGCACACACACACACACACATATATATATATATATATGGATGAAAAACAAACCTATTAGAAAACAAACTTACTGTAGATTCCATTTCTTCATTCAAACCTAATGTCCAAAAATCTGCCCGTGTGAGACATCCTTTAGATGTTTCAACAATCAGCTCATTTTGTGGCCTGCTGATGTCCAGTACATAGGTGAGCTGACCGAAATACAAAGAAAGCTTTCATTTCACATACTGTATGTCAGCTGTTCAAACCGATGCATATTTAAGAATAGTATGGTGAGAGGTGAAAACAAACGTACAAGCTGTCGTTGACTAAGGTGAGGTTCAAAAGACCATGATGATCGGCTAGGCCAAATGTTCTGAGGGTTGGTCACATCTTCACACAGTGGTCCACATACATCAGACAACATTACAGCCGATGAGCTTGATGGTCGGATCTGGTGGTCGGATGTTTCCATTTGCTCTATATTAATATAGACAATATTTGTTTTTTGACAAAAGACACTTTACAGGAAGCATAATGAAGAATACATGCACAAGAAAAAACATTAGCAATAATAAGGAATTAATTTTTAGCCTATAGGGGAGAAAACACTTGAATTCCGAATAAGAAACCATACCAGAGTCACTTGACATTGAAGATGCTTGTTTTAGTGTCATCTCTGTGTTTTCCAATTTGGGAGCTGGGGTACAAAATAACAGAAATAAGTCTCCCCAGTATGCTTTAGATACAAACAGTAATTTAATGTCTGCAGTCATGGTAATAAATGTTTTATTTACCTATAA